GACATGCCAAAGTCCTAGGCCACAAATTGCTGTTGGAAAACTGCCGCACACATTTTGCTGCCGCTGCCGGCATTGTATTGGCTGTGCCTGTGCCTGTGCCTGGCCTGACCTACGACACCAACATGTACGCCCGAGTCCCAGTTCCATGGCCATGCCGCATCCCTCTTCCACTCTGGCCGCCTGTCAAGTTTTGTGGCGAGTGAAACTTGAAATTACTATTGATACTGATAGCAACTGCAACTGCAACTGCAGCAGCAACTGCTGCTGCTGCCTTTTGCGGCTTTTAATCTGTGCGCCGTAATGCGTTACGGTAAATATTTTTGCTGTTAAGATCAAAGCTGGCCATCAAAAGGTTTTCATGTTTGTGCCATGTCTGTCCATTATTTGGCTAATTGAGCGCTGCGTTTGGGTCAGCGCAGTGCCTGCTGCTGCTGCTGCTGCTGCCAATTAGCAGAGCCCGCTTTAACCCCTCACCAGCCCTCAAATCGCAACAATAGAGCAATCGATATGCGGCCAATTGCCACCAGGTGTGGAGAACTCAATCATCGCCAGTGGCCAAAATGCAATTGCTGAGCTTAATGCGCAAAACGTGAGCCCAATTTGCATGGCGACAAAAACAACTAACAACAACTAACAACAACAACAACAACAACAACTAACAACAATTGCTGCAGCAACAATAAAGTCAACCTTCATTTTGCAGTCCAATTCTGAATGCATTTCACACATTTTTCAGCATGACTCAGTTTGCTTTAAGATTTATTCTTTCCATTCATTAGCCATTTGAATCATTTGAGCTCATCGTTGGCTAAGAACTAGAGATGGACGCGTGAGTGGTAGAAAAATATCGAATACGCTCAAATAGATCATATAGATAAACAAGAAAAGAATATTTGAAGTGTCTTGGCAATATAATTACTTGTATTAGAATTAGAATATGACTTATCTTATATTAAGTTTTAATTAAGATATTAAGTTTTTTGATTATATATTTAAGTCTAGTTTATAGTACATATTTTATTATAATACTTATATTTGTAATTGTATTTAATAATATTATAATACAGATAGACTATATTTAAGCAAAGGTTTTCAATTTGTACTGACATATACCTAAACTATAAATATATTTAATTTTTTATAATTTTCACGCATATATGAACTATATATTGAACTATATATTTGAATGCATATTGATTCAGCTGGAACTCGAAGCGACTTCGCATCAAAAACAAACATATAATAAATTATTTTTGGTGAGATTAATACATACATAAGATTAATCAAGCTCTATTTCTTTTCCCTATGATATTGTTTTATACATATATAAACACTCGCGTGTCACGCGCCCATCTCTAGCTGAAGCACTCGACACCTGTGTGAATATCGCATAATGATTTCTCTTTGTCTGACGCTCTGCAAACTCAATATGATAATTATTGTTGCTATTATTATAATTCTAATTGTGATTCTGATTATTATTATTTATTTTTTGTTTCTTACAGTTGCGTGTCACGCGCCCATTTCTAGCGCCCGCAACCGCCAGCTTGTTGCAGCCACTCGGATAGGTCACGTGTTTGTGTTTTTCGTGTGGCACACAGCAAAATATCAGCAATTGAACTATAGACATTTTGCCCAAATCCAGTAAACAGTCGAAAATGCCGCGCTCTTTTTGTGTACAACTTTTGGTAGCAGGCTTGCTAAAAAAGAGGGGGGGTGGGAGCTGCTTTCATGTTTTGGCCTGGCTGTGCTGTTGTTGTTGTTGCAAGGCTCATCTTGCACTAAATGTCAAATGCAAATGCAAAAGCCAAGCGGGCTGCCCACCACAAAAAAAAACTGTAGCTGCCACCTGCTAAACTTTCAGCTAAATTTTAGGTAAACTTGTTTGTGCCCTCAGCTAATTGAAAAAGTTTAAAATGTTTAAAAAATGTTAGAAGAAGAGATTATTGACCCATAGAGAAGGTGCATGTGCATCTGATCAATGGGCACGCCTTATTTTAGAGAATTGGGGAAATTGGGGACTAATTTTTCGAATCATTTCGATTTTCAGTCTAAACTATCTGACTATATATTGAAATCTGTCACAGCAAGAGGCAAGATATTTATTATGTAGGCTCTCGTCTTAGTATACGCAGATTCCAAGTCTTAAAAAACAAATTTTTAGAGATACATCCTGGGTCACTCGTATATACACACTCTTGGATGTCATATTGAATCCCTGAAAATTACATAATGATCGGACAATAGGAACCGAAGTTACTTAAGAACTCATTTCAGTTCTGTAAAGGACTGCGTGCACAATAAGTTGCATATTGTGTTGAAAGTACATTTGAGTTCATGCTGCGGCAAGTGTCCGTCGTTCACACCCCACCAGAGCACTCTTACATGCATTTTTATATTTTTTTCGATTTGTGTTTGTGGCCAAATATCTGTGCCCAGTGTCGGGGTCTGACACTCATAATTAATACGCTTAAGTTGGCTTACTTAGTTTCAATTTGCACGTAGCGCTGACAAATTTCTCTCCACCCTTGCGGGGCTTCATTAAAAAGCCATTACGGGGCCTGCCCGCTCCAAGCATTAAGAAACTTCTGCCAAACTTCTCTTTCTTGATGATGATACCTGGAGCAGAAATATGGCCCAGCCAAAAGTTACGTGTACGCCGCACAAGTTGCCGCATCTGCCGTGCCATCAATTGTTGTTGTTGTGTCAACTTTAAAGCAGTTGTTGTTGTCTTTGTGCCAGGTTTTCTTTTGGCCAACTGCGTGGGAAATGCCGTCGATCGGTCACGATCAGCAATCAGCAATCAGCGCTGGAGCGATCAGAGCCAAGACACAAACCAGCTGAAAGTACATGCAAAATGCAAAGTTGATTTTATCGTTGGTTGTTTGTGTTGTTTGCGTTGTTTGCGTTGTTTGTTGCTTTCCATTCGTCTGGCCTTTAAAGTGATTTGCCACTTGACAAATGAGCTGCCTGCCACATGTGCAATTTAAGAGACGACTCCGCGCGGCAACAACAACAATTTGTGTTGCCAATTTTCGCTCAACTTCGCAAAAACAATAGTCTATGCCTGGCTTGACAATTTGTGCATTGATTTGGAAAATGGCTCCAACAAATGGCCAAGAAATGGAGCGCACATATATATACATATATATACATATATGAAAATGACATGGAAAAGCGAACTCTCGAACTGCTCAAAAGAGAAAATTTTGGTGGCGTACAAACAAAGGAAAATTGCCCAGAAATTGGTGCTATCAACAAAAGCAACTGTGCAGAACATCTAAGGCCAACATCGAGTGCAGCAACAGAACCAATCCTCAAAAAAAAAAAAAACTGCCAAGAAAAATAAAAAAAGTAGCATATTGCTACCCTATGGAACTGACCTTCAGTGCCATTTGCTGCTCACATTTTAAATTTGTTTGTGCAGTTGATTTTTCTTTTGTTTTTTATGTGTGCATATACCCTGTACGTGAAAGCTGAGTGAAGGGAGGGTGGCTTAAAGTGTATGTACGCCAAAGATGTCAGGAGGTTAATAACATATTAAACAGAAGCTGAGTTCGTCTGATCTGTCTACAGGGTATCTGTGAGTCGAGCACCGGTTACAGGTGCATTCTTAAGCATTCTATATGTGTGTGTACGAGTTTAAGCCACTGCGAATGCTTAGCGTGGTTCATTCGATCCTCCATACGGGGTATCTTCAAGTTGAGCAGCTTTTTACTTAAGTTAAAATGGCATTTGAGTTGTGTATAAAAATTTAAACTTAATCAAATGCTTATTTTGGCTTATTCAAAACTTTGTACAGGGTATAGACCCAGTCGAGCAGCTTCCGACTTGAGTAAAAACTTGTGGCTGGAGCAGCTTAGACCTGTATACAGGGTAGCTGTCACTATGTGAATGTAAGCTAATGCAAATGTATGTCTCATATTACACAGTTCCGTATGCAGGGTATCTTCTAGTCGAGCATGCTCACCTAATGCCCTCTTGCTCGCTTGTACACACATGAACATGCTTCTCAGCACATAGAAATATATTGAAAGGCACATCAGTGCTTATCTGTCTGCCTACAGGGTATCTGCTAGTCGAGCATTCTCAGGTAATGCACTCTTGCTTGTTTGTACAGGCACGAATATGCTTATCAGCACATATAAATATGCTGAAAGGCACATCAGAACTTGGCTGTCTGCCAACAGGGTATATGCTAGTCTATCACTTTGTACTTGTGCATTCCAACTAGTTTCATTTTTTCATTCTTATTCGATTTCAACACAAAACGTGCCAAGTTCTTTTTGTTTCTGTTGGCACGTTTCACAAATTTAAAAGAGTTCAACGTGAGGCAAAGGCGAGACTTTTGGTTCAGATGCGACTCCTCTCGTCCACACACACACACAGCGATTGCCCATCCGCAGCTCTGCGCTTATCAGCCGCACAGCTGGCAGATAACAGCGCGAGGTGCACACACAGGAGGCGGAGTCGGAGGCGCGCCTGGCCAGCTGATAGCGTCAACTGCCGCCCAATGTGCGGACTACTCCGAATGGCATTCGATTTAGTTGAGTTCGCAGAATCGAGTGCAAAACATTTCCAGTGCGCAAATTCATTTCGAAATGTTTGGCCTAATGAAATTCTTGCTGCTTGTGCTTTGGCTAATTGGTTTGAGCCAAGGGCGGTCGAACACTGCCATGGATTGGCATGAGGTGGGCCTTAAAACGATATACGATGTATAGATATATAGCTATATAATTATTTGATATTATTTGCATGCTTGCAGACACCGGAGCCGGATCCCACAATATTTGAGAACAAATCGCTTTTCGAGCTGGAGCTGCATTTGAACGATGTTGACTCCAATTGAATATCGTCTAGAAATCAATAAGAATTCAATTTTTTGTATATAGCTATAAAATTGTCCGGTTTTTAATGCGCCGATAAGCTTGCGTACAGCTCGTGTAAATAATATTTAAATTTTGTTTATTTATTATTAAGCATTTATGATTTAAGATGAACATTTCCCGCTCTAGAAACGGAACGTATACTGTGCGCCCGCGCCCCAATTGGGCCGACTGTTGCCGTAGGGTCCGCCCAGGTGCTGGGAATACTGTCCCGTCGCGTCCAGCGAGTGGCGACCGTTGGGACTCTGCCAGACGGGCGCGCGTCCATTGACGCTCAAGTCGAAGCCCTGACGCGGACTGCCGCCGCCCTGCACATTCAGCTGGCGACGCACGCGAAGCTGCTCCACCTGTTCACTTGGCGCCCAATCGTAGTTCCCGGCCAGCTGCTTGGTGGGATTGGGGACCATAAGACTTAAACTCAACAAACTTCTGGGCGCTGCACTTACCAATTGTGTGGCCGGCTCGTCGTCGAATGTCAGAAGCGGATTAGGATAAGCCCAGGCGCAGGCGAAGACGCCGAGGACGAGCAGCAGCAAACTAAGTTTAAGTTGCATCTTGTGGTTTTGAGCTGTGGTAGCTGCTGTTGTTGATGTTGATACTAAAATGACGAAAGTGTGGCTCCATGTGCCTTATATATGCTTGGGGCCCATAGACAAGCTCTCCCGTCGCAGGGAATCCCTTGTGGCACATTGTCTGGCTTGGGAGACTGTGCTTCACAAGTGAATACCCGGCGCAGGCAGCTGATAAGATGCGTGATCTCTTGGCAAATAATATGGTAGCTTGATAAAGACCAGTATGTAAATCCCCGCCTGATGAGCCAAGCAATGCTCAGATCTTCAATTAGGCACTACGCAAAGGTAGAACAGCTGCAGTTATACCTGAAATAAAACAAATGTCAATGTTGTTCAGTTAATCAACCAGATCAATTGATCTTAACTATCTTAAGATATTCTTATTTACTAGGAGATACTCTGTTCCCATCTCCGAGCTGCGGTCATCAACATTGGAAACTTTTTCTAGACATATATACACTCTCCCCAGTCACACTTTCTTGTAGAACTCTCTTTCTCTCTCCCTCCCTCTCTCTTTCTCTCTCTCTCTCTCTCTATTTCTCTCTCTTTCTCTCTATCTCTATATCTATCTCTCTCTCTATCTCTATCTCTATCTCTATCTCTATCTCTATCTCTATCTCTATCTCTATCTCTATCTCTATCTCTATCTCTATCTCTATCTCTATCTCTATCTCTATCTCTATCTCTATCTCTATCTCTATCTCTATCTCTATCTCTATCTCTATCTCTATCTCTATCTCTATCTCTATCTCTATCTCTATCTCTATCTCTATCTCTATCTCTATCTCTATCTCTATCTCTATCTCTATCTCTATCTCTATCTCTATCTCTATCTCTATCTCTATCTCTATCTCTATCTCTATCTCTATCTCTATCTCTATCTCTATCTCTATCTCTATCTCTATCTCTATCTCTATCTCTATCTCTATCTCTATCTCTATCTCTATCTCTATCTCTATCTCTATCTCTATCTCTATCTCTATCTCTATCTCTATCTCTATCTCTATCTCTATCTCTATCTCTATCTCTATCTCTATCTCTATCTCTATCTCTATCTCTATCTATCTCTATCTCTATCTCTATCTCTATCTCTATCTCTATCTCTATCTCTATCTCTATCTCTATCTCTATCTCTATCTCTATCTCTATCTCTATCTCTATCTCTATCTCTATCTCTATCTCTATCTCTATCTATCTCTATCTCTATCTCTATCTCTATCTCTATCTCTATCTCTATCTCTATCTCTATCTATCTCTATCTCTATCTCTATCTCTATCTCTATCTATCTCTATCTCTATCTCTATCTCTATCTCTATCTCTATCTCTATCTCTATCTCTCTCTCTCTCTATCTCTATCTCTATCTCTATCGCACCTCTTAAGCCATAAAAAGCAATAATACCCAATACAGGGGCTTACAAAATATAATCATAGACATCACATAATTATATGCCAGATATGTGGCGCGTGTAAGCCAAACCCTTCCTCAACTTGCCAAGGTCAGTTTGAATTGGCAACGAAAAATGTATGCAAATTTCTAGTTGAAAATCATTTTGTAAATTCCGTTTCGGGAGTTCTAGAGCTCCGAAAATGATTCATTTGAATTAAAAGTAATTTGATATAGGAACGCCCACCCCTTGAGCCAATGGCCTTTTCGCTTTCGCTGGCGCGTTCTACACATAATTAATACAGCAATTTGTTAAACAACATTTATTTATAGACTTTGGGTTAGACTGTGGCATGATAGATTTTCATTGTAGCCTCTTTTGACAGTTAACGCAATAAATCCAATTAAGAAAAAACATTTTATCCGGCTAAACATTGCGGCAGGTTTCATTAAGCAAATAGTCGTTGACGTCGTGTGCGCTTAATTTGTTATTACCAACAAGAATTAGCCAGAAAACAGGAGAAAAAAACAAACAAATAGAAAACAAAAAACAATATAAACACATGTACAATTAGCCAAACTGCAAGCTCATCTCGATGGATTGTCAGCAGTAAATTTGACTCTATGTTCCGGGGTAGACGAACGTCGCCGTGCTCAAGGATAGCCCAAGCCCAGTCTGAGCTTGGCATCTTTAAGATTTACATAGATTAGACAAGAGAAGCTAGCTGGGTGAACAATATATAATATAGCTAATTATGCAGCTACTCGATTTTTGTCTACTTCAATACGATTTTATATACTCTAAAAAAGCACAAATGATATATTTTGAATAGTTCAGGATCCTTATGAATATTAATATGAGATGATTTTTGGAAAATCCGCCCTTTTAGGGGAAAAATAGAAAATTTAATAATACAAATCCCCAAACTTGTGTTCTTTACGGTGCCATACTCTGACTTAGAAAGTATATGGTATAATTAGTTGTATTTCAATTAATATTGTATTAAACCTCAGTACATTTTTATTCTTATTTTGCCGAATTTATACAAATACTTGATAAACAAAAACTTTATTTAAAATCTAAATCTGTAGGTGCCACCTGCGCCCCATGAAGGCTCGCTGTTGCCCCAAGGTCCACCCAGATGCTGTCCATATTTGCCGACCACATCGAACTCGTGACGTTTGTTCTCGCTGGTCCAAACGGGCACCTGTGCCTGAGCCCACACATCCTTGCCGCTCTTGTCCTTGTTGTAGCCGCCATCCAAAAGAAAACGCTGCTCGTTTGGCGGATTGAATTGCTGCCGCTCAGTCCACACATCTCCCTTCGGCTTCTCCTCGGGATTGGGTTGGGGCATGGCCAAGGCGAAGCCGACCATGCAGCAGAGCAAAGCGATGAGTGTAACCTGCATGTTGTATGTGAATCTGGAGCTGATTGACTGATGATGCATCTAGCCGGAACAGCGAGCTTTTATAGCTAGACCACGCAGCAGTCGGTGATGCACAGAACCAAAAAAATCACCGTGTAGCCGCAGCTCTGTCCTTATCTGCCGGGTGCTTCCCCTGGGTGATTCCTCTTGCTTGAACTGGCGTATTTCTGCCTTGGCTCTTGTTTGTCTTCAATTCAACATTTTTTATGACTTTATTGCTTTCTTTGCGCATTTTTTTGCCCAATGGAGTACGTATATAATCATATTTTTCATTTATTGTTTTTTCATATGAACATTTATTGAAATATTTTATTGACCATGCGGAAAAACATTTGTCTGACATAGTTGGCCTATAGTTATGACACATTTCTGCTCTGACCACATATTCTACATGGCAAGTGTTATTGTTTATTTTTTTTAATTTAGCATTCATTGATTTATGAGCATTTTGTGGCTTCTGTGAAAACATTTTCAGCATTTCGTGTTCATTTCAATTTTTACGAGTCTCGTCTGTGCGGCTTATCAGCTGCTGATAATGCCCATGTAGCATGAATAAATTATTAAATAAATATTGTGCACTGTTTTCTTTTTTTCTCGGTTAAATATTATAAACAAACAGCGAAACAGTCGCACAACGTGCATCAATCGAGAGAGTCAACTTTGACAGAGTGCAAAATGCGGCTGCGAATCATTTACATAAATATTATGGCCATATTATTGGCTCTGCTGTGCGGGGTAATAAATGATATATGTAAGTACTTTAGCAGCTCTGACTAACTGTTTGCCACCTGCAGCTGGGCGTGGCACAAGTCGATGATGCCGAACTGGGCGTGGCTGGGTCAAATGCGCCCACCAAGAGCTGGTTTCCTGTCTGGGATGATGCACGTGGCGAGTGGACGGATCGGGATAATTAGTTGACAGATGTTGTCCAGCTCGATTTGTTATAAATATATGTATATCTGAATATATATATATTTATATATATATATATATATATATATATATATATATATATATCACAGCTGTGCATTTTAGCTGAAATTCAATTTTCTCTATGCGCTTCATTAAACCCACCAGAATATTGCAGTCGGGCATAATAGATTGCGTCATACTCGTTCCAGCCAGACTTTATTAAATTGTGTCGATTTTATGAGCTGCCACGCCCCCAGTGGGCGTAGACAAGGCAAAACATCTTTGGATGATCCCATTAGCAGGCATTACTCCAAATTGGATTAGTCAAGTCCAAGAACTGTTTGGGATCTAGATCAATTTTCGCGGCTTACTTGTACTCCTCTCGTGGGCGTGGCTTAAAAATGTTAAAACTTTGATGCTGATGTTATATATTCCCCATACAAATCTCTAGAATATGAACTGACAAGAGAAATTCCATTAAAATAGTTATATATACCATTTAACAATTGAATTTCTTTCTGCTTAGATATTAATTATTGATTTAATAAAAAATTTATTAATTACATTCAGTAGAATATCAAAATATAAAATATAGCTTTACTTAATATATACCACTTACATTTGATTCCACATCTAACTTTTCCTAGACATAATCTTCTTGCAAAGCTATTGCCTACTTGTAGGCTAAATTTACGCACGCCTAAGAGTATGCAACAGAAATAGAATGAAACGCGACAGTTAGTCATTTATCAGGCATAGAACTTATAGTTTAAGACTTCAAATAGATCTTACTAGTTCCCTAGACTAACTGCTTGGTGTTGTGCTAAAATCGACAGTTCTTTATATACATACATATATATCTATATATAACACACCAATTTGTATTCGAGCTCAGCACGCTGTAAAATTGTCGCTCTATGCATGTCAAAAATCAATTGCCGACAGTTCAATGCACCTCGACGTGGAGTGCGTGTTCGGCCCATGATAATTGCGGCCATTACGAGAGGCGGTAAAGGAAACAATGTGTACTCAAAAAACACCCAACTTTGTAAAGGTAGATACAATCGAATAAAAAGGAAAAACAATATCAACAAAATGGCTGCAATCAGAGTAAGCACGACTGTGCGATGCCCTGCAAAAGATTCATAATTAGACTACGGAGAGATCTAGAATTTGTCAAATGCTAAATAGTATTAACTACTATTCAAATAGATTTATAGGCGAGAGTTGCTCGACTGTGTGATACCCGGCGCTACAGAAAATTATAATATAATAAACATTTTATGAATTTCACACTTTTCTGTGTGTTCTAAAATTCAGAATTTACTCAGAAAGCAGAATAAGCCTTAAATTCTAGAGCTAAAGTAATTATGGAAATTAATATGTATCTTAAATTTAGGATATATTGGAATTACTTAAGTACACAATATTATATTGGTTTTATTTAAAATATAACAGATTGAGCCGAGCTAAGGTTTTCACAAGAACTTCAACCCCAATCAATACACCTTTGTCACATTTATTACAGGGTATACAAAAAGTGGCACACACAGGCCACAACAGCACTTAATAAAATAAGTCTCACACCACGTGTAAATCCTACTTCCAGCCACAAAATGGCTCAGCCTTTGCCCCAAATGAAGCGCTCATCAATGCGGCAATTAGGGATTCCCCCAAGATTGGGGCATGGAAATCGGCGTAATATCGTTGTTTTTTCTTATTTCTGGGCCTGGTGCCAGCTTTTGACACGCTGCGCCAAGTGCGCTTGCCAAACGCCATTCGATTTGGGGCGCGGCACGCCAAAGGGGGGCGGCAACGCAGAGGCGTGACAGGCGCAAAAGTTTGTGGCTGCAGTGCATCATTGCAGCAAGTTTTTGGCCGGAATCGAATTTAGCTCTACTAGCAGCGGCCTAATTGCGTTAATTTCACTTGCATTCCAATTCCCATTGTTGAATTGTTTCTTGTGTTGCTGCCACGCCCAGCTTGCTAGGGGGCGGCAAGGTGAGGGGTAGCGCTTGCATGTTTCGCGGCACTTTTGTGGCCTGGAGCGCGCTCTCCTGGCACCGCTTGTGCATGTCGACGACATAATTGTTAGCCACACAAATTATACCAGGCAGCCGGCGCCTTTGAGCACCGGCCCTCCCCCACCCAACCCAACCCCTAACCCTAAACCTAGCACACGCAGTGACAAGTGCAACAACCCCTTCATGGAAAAGTACCCCCGCGCGCCGTTGCGCCTTGACCCAACTGCAGTTCATTGACCTTGCGTCAAGTGGGGAGACTTTATAAATTTTTGTTGAGTGTGAAACGAAAACCAACTCAAAAATGCTAACTAGCTGGATGGTGCATCGGCGGGCCGGATCGCCGCATCGCCAGCCTCGGATTGACGCTTCATCAGCACATCCATCATATCCTCATCCTCGAGTTCCAGCGAATTGGCGGTGTCATTATCGTTGATCCTCTCGCCATCGAACGATAGGCTAGCCAAATCCTTGGACAAGCCCATCTGCGAGCAGTACGCATCCTTCAGCTTGCCCAGCGGCATCAGGCGACGTATGCGGAAGAGAATAACGCCCCGATCCGCCGATTGCATCTTCAAGGTTATATGGGGCGAAACATGCAGCTCGCCAGCCTCCTCCATTCTGATACAGCGTTTGGCTATGTCTTTGGTATTTAATATATATATATATATATATATAGGTATATGTGTATCTTCAAATTTGGAATTGTTCTGTTTTGTGTACTGGGACTAAACAAATATATATTTTGTTTTTAGGCTCAAACATTTTGTTAACATCTTTTAAAACAACCACGTGGCCTACTTGTTGTGGTTGTTGCTGCTGCTGTTGCAGAAATGTTTGAGGCCACATCAGCAGCAGCCGGGCCCAACAAGTGGGAACTTGGTAATAAATAAGAATAAATAAGTTCCATTGAGGGTTTCCGATAAGATAGCGTCCACTTAAGCTCCAGGTACTCCAGGTACTCCCGGCACGGACCGCATATCTTCGAAATGTTCTCAACCAACAGACAAGCCCAGTGACAATCGTATATTGTACCGCACAGTGGTTGAAACCGATGAGAAACCAGCCAAAAGCTATCTATTTTGCGGCGCGAATGACAGGAAATGACAACGAACTATGGAAAACTTCTTATGAATGGAACTTGCAAACTTCTATTCAAGTTAATCAGGTTTATGAAACAACGAAATGGAAAGTCATGCAAACTTATCTCTCAAATGATATTCGAGTTAAGCGAATGGAGCCTGTTTTGTCTACAAATTTTAAAAACTTTTTAAAACATTTAGAATACAAAATGTTACAGCTTTTGATTTTTTAAAAGAATAAATTAAGAGTATGTTAACTTCATTAAATTAAATGTTTGTGTAGATTGTAATCAAATTTACTAAAAAAAAGTAATTATATATTAAGTTGAGTTTTAGAGGATATATTTTATTATAATTTGCCATAAAATAATATAATATTTAATAATAATAATAATAATATTTAATAATTTAGTTTTTTATATCTATAGCTTAATGTGTAATATTAAATAATTTCTTTTTTTTTAATACAAAAAATTAAATATATAATATAAAAAAATTTTATGTTTATATTTTATTTATTATTTATATAGCGTTTAATATATATTTCAATAATTTTATATAAACAAATAGCTTAAATATATTTCTTAATCGTTTTATGTTTATACATATTACTTAATAATTATCAAACACAAATCGTACAGCTAATATATATATAGATAAAGCCTGAAATTTGTAAAGGAAAACGTGAGCTAACTAATTAGCAATGCATTTCAATGTATTATAGGTCAGTTTCAAAGTTTATTTAACGCTTCTATATAAAAAAAAAGCAACACACAAAAATATTCATTATCAGCGCACATTTTAAATTATGTGCACGTCCCACTGTGCGCAAAGGCGCACTATCATATTTATTTATACATATTTCTATATGTTTTATATAGTATAGATTAACAATAGCTCTCGGGCGTTCCAGGCGTCGGTCATCAGTTGGTTTACGGCGAGCACGGAGAGCGGTTGTGCATACTCGATGAATTTTTGGAAACTTGGGGAGGCAGCTCATTAAAATTTTAGTCATTAGGCTGCAGATAAACACTCGGAATTGTTGTTTTGCTTAGACGGATTTTAGCCAATAATGAAGTGCCTGGTTATATTTGGACTGATTGTGGCCATATTTGCTGGCATTGTGGGCTACGGTTATCTGTTGTTCACAGACTTGACACGTCCGCTGCCCAGGCCAGAGTACAAAGACGATACATATTGGGGACCCGGCGATGGCAAGAACTATGTGCCCGATACGAAAATCTATGATTTCAAATTGGATGTGCCCAAGGCGGAAATTGAGGATTTGCGACAGCAACTGAATCGCACACTGCGGCTAACCGAGCCCCTCGATGGCATCGCCTTTGAGTATGGCTTCAACACGTACGCATTGGAGCAGTTTGTGGAATACTGGCGTGACAAGTATCTAACCAAGTGGGATGAGCGCCAGGCGTATTTGAACTCGCTGAAGCAGTACACCACCGAGATACAGGGGTGAGTGTGTGTGTGTGTGTGTGTGTGTGTGTGTGTGTGTGTGTGTGTATGTGTGTGAGCATCTGTGGACGACTCTCCACATGGCCTAAGCCAATTTCATAAATTTCCACAATCTGCAGCTTAAAGATTCACTACATACACGAGCGCGTTGCCGAGGAGGTGGCGGAAAAGAAGCATGTCTATCCGCTGTTGCTGCTCCACGGCTGGCCGGGTTCGGTGCGTGAATTTTACGATTTTATACCAATGCTGAACAAGGATCAAAACATTTCCGACTATGCCTTTGAAGTGGTTGCACCCTCGCTCGTTGGCTTCGGCTGGTCGGATGTGAGTATATACATATAGTATATATATATTTAATGTCTATTGATTTATGGCAATGTCATGTGTTTTATTTCCCTAGGCTGCCACACGCGTGGGCTTCAATGCCGCTGAAATGGCCACCGTGATGCGTAATCTGATGTTGAGACTGGGCCACAAGAAGTTCTTCATTCAGGGCGGCGATTGGGGCAGCATTATTGGCAGCAACCTGGCCACACTGTATCCGGATAATGTGCTGGGCTATCATTCAAATATGTGCATACTGAGCACACCGCTCTCCTTCCTCAAGAGCGTCTATATTAATTACTATCCCGAGAAGGTGCTGAAGTCGCGCATGTTTTACGATCACCATGTGGGCATATGGGAGAAGTATCAGATGCTGCTGGTGGAGAGCGGCTATTATCATTTGCAGGCCACAAAGCCGGACACCATTGGCGCCGCACTCACCTCCAGTCCCGTTGCGCTGGCCGCCTACATTCTCGAAAAGTTCCAGACCTGCAGTGGGCCCAGCCTGCAGCAGGACTTTGGCGCCATTGTTACCGTCTTTGGCCTGGAGGCGGTGCTCGACAATTTGATGATCTATTATCTGAACAATGCGGCTACAACAGCCGCACGTTTCTATGCCGAGAACGTGTCCAAGCCATATCGTGACCTGCAGCTGGATCGCGTGCAGACCTCCGTGCCCATGGGCTGTGCTCGGTTTAGGTTTGATTTGCCCGCAGCTTCGGAATGGCAGCTGCAGGACAAGTTTACCAACATAAAACACAGCATGTATTTCCAGCACGGCGGCCATTTCGCTGCCCTGGAAATGCCATCCATGTTGTACAATGATTTTACGGCATTTGCAAAAAAAGTTGGACTGCACGGTGAAAGTTAAGAAGAATGTTGTAGCTCTCATAGAGCACAGAATGTATTGATAATAAAGTAAAGACAAGACAAACCTACCTATTTCATTTTAAGTCTAGTTAGTCATTAGATTACAGAGGGATTCCAAATCCCAATAAAAAACAAGTAAGAGGCTCTAGTCGAGAGCTCCCGACTAGAGGATACCCTGAACCCTTTTCTTTCAACATCAAATGCATATATATATTCTATTTTAGAAGCTATATGTCAAGTTTGGTGACTCTAGCTCTTATTATTTACCAAAATTGCCCAAAAAAACAGGATATCAATATCAATTTTTATCGATTGCTTGGAAACGGAGCAAGTTATCGATTATCGGAAGCAAACTCGATCTGCGCAGGCACTAGGAGGACCTATATCTAAAATTTTCAATCTCTAGCTCTTATAGGTTCTGAGATCCTTGCGTTCATACATACGGACGGACGGACGGACAGACAGACGGACATGGCTAGATCGACACGGCTATTGATGCCGATCAAAAATATATATACTTTATGGAGTCCTTCTGCCTGTTACATACATTTGGATTTTGCACAAATACAATATACCCTTCTACCCATTTTTAATGGGTTCAGGGTATAAAAACAAACTTTTTTGACGATTTTTTTTTCACATGAATTTTGACCAAAATTAATGTTGTCAGATTTGAATGCCAAATTGATTAAGAGGCCAAACCATGGATAAAAAGCCAAACCTTTTGAAAATCGGTTGAGTTTTGACCGACTTATGGGAGTTGGAAATTTTGATTTATATCTCCATATGGGATATATGTATAAGTAGGATATTTGAGGGTACCATTTTCACATGAATTTTGGCCAAAATTAATGTTGTCAGATTTGAATGCCAAATTGATTAAGAGGCCAAACCATGGATAAAAAGCCAAACCTTTTGAAAATCGGTTGAGTTTTGACCGAGTTATGGGAGTTGGAAATTTTGATATAGGATATATGTATAGGATATTTGAGGGTACCATTTTCACATGAATTTTGACCAAAATTAATGTTGTCAGATTTGAATGCCAAATTGATTAAGAGGCCAAACCATGGATAAAAAGCCACACCTTTTGAAAATCGGTTGAGTTTTGACCGAGTTATGGGAATTGGAAATTTTGATATAGGATATATGTATATCTATATCTAGGATATTTGAGGGTACCATTTTCACATGAATTTTGACCAAAATTAATGTTGTCAGATTTGAATGCCAAATTGATTAAGAGGCCAAAACATGGATAAAAAGCCAAACCTTTTGAAAATCGGTTGAGTTTTGACCGAGTTATGGGAGTTGGAAATTTTGATATAGGATATATGTATAGGATATTTGAGGGTACCATTTTCACATGAATTTTGACCAAAATTTATGTTGTCAGATTTGAATGCCAAATTGATTAAGAGGCCAAACCATGGATAAAAAGCCACACCTTTTGAAAATCGGTTGAGTTTTGACCGACTTATTGGAGTTGGAAATTTTGACCTATAGGATATATGTATATCTATATCTAGGATATTTGAGGGTACCATTTTCACATGAATTTTGACCAAAATTAATGTTGTCAGATTTGAATGCCAAATTGATTAAGAGGCCAAACCATGGATAAAAAGCCAAACCTTTTGAAAATCGGTTGAGTTTTGACCGACTTATGGGAGTTGGAAATTTTGATTTATATCTCCATATGGGATATATGTACAATTAGGATATTTGAGGGTACCATTTTCACATGAATTTTGACTAAAATTTATGTTGTCAGATTTGAATGCCAAATTGATAATGAGGTCAAACCATGGAAAAAAATCCAAACCTTTTGAAAATCGGTTAGGTTTTGACCGAGTTATGGGAATTGGAAATTTGGACCTATAGGATATATGTATATGTAGGATATTTGAGGGTACCATTTTCACATGAATTTTGACCAAAATTTATGTTGTCAGATTTGAATGCCAAATTGATAATGAGGTCAAACCATGGACAAAAAGCCAAGCCTTTTGAAAATCGGTTGAGTTTTGACCGAGTTATGGGAATTGGAAATTTTGACCTATAGGATATATGTATATGTAGGATATTTGAGGGTACCATTATCACATGAATTTTGACCAAAATTTATGTTGTCAGATTTGAATGCCAAATTGATAATGAGGTCAAACCATGGAAAAACATCCAAACCTTTTGAAAATCGGTTGAGTTTTGACCGAGTTATGGGAATTGGAAATTTTGATATAGGATATATGTATATGTAGGATATTTGAGGGTACCATTTTCACATGAATTTTGACCAAAATTTATGTTGTCAGATTTGAATGCCAAATTGATAATGAGGTCAAACCATGGACAAAAAGCCAAGCCTTTTGAAAATCGGTTGAGTTTTGACCGAGTTATGGGAATTGGAAATTTTGACCTATAGGATATATGTATATGTAGGATATTTGAGGGTACCATTTTCACATGAATTTTGACCAAAATTTATATTGTCAGATTTGAATGCCAAATTGAAAATGAGGTCAAACCATGGAAAAAAATCCAAACCTTTTGAAAATCGGTTGAGTTTTGACCGAGTTATGGGAGTTGGAAATTTTGACCTATAGGATATATGTATATGTAGGATATTTGAGGGTAGCATTTTCACATGAATTTTGACCAAAATTTATATTGTCAGATTTGAATGCCAAATTGAAAATGAGGTCAAACCATGGAAAAAAATCCAAACCTTTTGAAAATCGGTTGAGTTTTGACCGAGTTATGGGAGTTGGAAATTTGGATTTATATCTCCAAATAGGATATATGTACAATTAGGATATTTGAGGGTACCATTTTCACATGAATTTTGACCAAAATTTATGTTGTCAGATTTGAATGCCAAATTGATAATGAGGTCAAACCATTGACAAAAAGCCAAACCTTTTGAAAATCGGTTAGGTTTTGACCGAGTTATGGGAATTGGAAATTTGGACCTATAGGATATATGTATATGTAGGATATTTGAGGGTACCATTTTCACATGAATTTTGACCAAAATTTATGTTGTCAGATTTGAATGCCAAATTGATAATGAGGTCAAACCATGGACAAAAAGCCAAGCCTTTTGAAAATCGGTTGAGTTTTGACCGAGTTATGGGAATTGGAAATTTTGACCTATAGGATATATGTATATGTAGGATATTTGAGGGTACCATTTTCACATGAATTTTGATTTTTTTGACTTCTAAGGATGAGTACTATCGATTGGCATCAGAAAAATAAAAATTTAAATTTTGACCCAAATCGACCAAAAAGCAATGGGTTACATCACGTTTTTTTCCAAAATCGGGGTAGGTTCGAATATCTCAACTTGTTAGACGATTTTTTTGAAACTCTCGGGTAAATATAATCTCATTTTAAAATGTTATACCTTTTTGAATGCGTACGGATCCCTACTATCATATGGCATTCATTAAAAAAAATTTGTTGGCCAAAAACGTTTCGCTTGCAAAGTCCACCTTTTTGGAGTATCTCAAGTGAGATTCATTAAATTATGCTAAACGAAGTACTGTCCCAATCGAGCTCTCTCCACTGGATTTATTCAAGCCATATAGATAGGTAGCTTTATCTAAATCAATATACTTACTTTGCATACCCAAGCCATTTGCATGAACGTAATATTAAACAAGTGAGAGGTTCTATTCGGGAGCTCCCTTATCTTCATTCAACATCAAATGCATATATATATATTCCATTTGAGAAGCTATATGTCAAGTTTGTTGACTCTAGCTCTTATTATTTACCAAAATTGCCCAAAAAACAGGATATCGATATCAATTTTTATCGATTGCTTGGAAACGGAGTAAGTTATCGATTATCGGAAACAAAATCGATCTGCGCGGGAACTAGAAGCATCTACATCTAAAAGTCTCTAAGTTTCAAGTCTCTAGCTCTTATAGGTTCTGAGATCCTTGCGTTCATACATACGGACGGACGGACGGACAGACAGACAGAATAATATAGAATATATATACTTTATGTGGTCGGAGATGCTTCCTTCTGCCTGTTACATACATTTGGATTTTACACAAATACAATATACCCTTATACCCATTTTTAATGGGTTCAGGGTATAAAAATGCCATCTGCATCGTCGACCGAGAGTCGATTGTGCGAAAATACAATCTAATCTTTTTTCATTTTAAAAAGCGCGCCCCTTTCTTAAAATCCAACTTCGTTTGCTTTCCAACACTGAATGCTGCACTTTGTGTTTTCGTGTTTGTTGCTTATCATCGTTTTAGCCGCACTTTATTTTGCAACTGATATGAACAAAGTATTCGTTTCAAATTCAATTACCACAAAATCATGTTTATCAATTGTCTTGCTGCTTTGTCATGCTCGCAATGCATAACTGTTATGTGCTATGGAGGAGAGCTTTAATTTGTTATGCCGATTTATGTAAATGAAGTCTGAAAATCTATGCCAAATTCATTGAAATTCCTCGTATCTTGTGTATCTAAAAGCTCATAAAATTGTTACTCAAGAAAACAGCGATTAAAGAGAAGTCGTCACTGAATACATTTCACTTTTATTTATTTATGCAAAATAACTTTATTTACATCTTCGTGCTAGCTTTGACTCACGAGAGGCACGACTAGCGGTTGATCGCACTGCTCTCCTACCTACCTAAATTTCATGTATATTTATTAAAGTTAGTTGTGTGCGTATTTGCATGTGTATGCGTGTGAGCGCACAGCAGAGCAAAAAAAGCAACTACATTGCGTGCCATTCATATAGAACCTTTAAAAGCACTTTATATAAAAAAAATGCATTTAAATGTTATACATGTATAGTTCGTTGTGCCAAAATAACTAGGATATTAAAGATGTAAATTATTTATAGTTAGTAACTAATAATAACACAATTAATAAGAGAACATGAATATGTTTAAATAATAATTAGAATAGTTAGTTTCAAGAGTACTCATACTAACAAAATGGGTATTTTTTATCCGAGCACTATCTTGCGATATTTATTGGAATGTTTGTGTGAAACTTAAGCAGGATC